CACATTTGTAACTAACATGAGAAAGTGGGCATCTCTAACTACATGAACTAAGGTGTTCCAAGAAAATGTCTTACCGTATTTACTCAATTGAACGCCATGGCGTTTATTAAATTTTTCGTTATTCGGGTGCGGCGTTTATTCGAGGGCGGGGTTGGTACAAAGCTAGGCGGTGTTATTTAAAATCCAATTGATTCCTTGCAAACAATAGTATGGCAAGAGCATTGAAATAGCATTGAAGTGTACTCACTTTCCACTGAAAACCATTGTTATCAATGAAAGCAAGTAAAGCTAACTACCGTATATTGTTCTCATGTTTTTATTATATTCCTTTGAGTTTCGAAAGTACTGATATTAAAACATTGCTATAATCAAGAAGAATAATTTTCTTCAGGCTTGCTCAAACTTAATTATTACCGCATTTGCTTTTTGAATTCTTAATATTTCTGTCTAAAATGTGGCGTTTATTCAGGGGCGGCGTTTATTCGAGGGGGCGTGTAATGGAGTAAATACGGTAACTGTCCGTGCGAAAGAGTTCAGGTTAATTAATGAACTGGAAGTAACCACTTTTTACCCTCGTGCACAGGTTATCACTGTTCTGATCTAGCTCGTCCGAAGTCCTGGCTGCTCGCGGGGACCCCAAGCAGAAAAAGACGCCTAGGTCACACATTGTTCTTAAGATAAGTGAACCAAGCGCCCACGTCCGATTAATGACCAAGGTTCGCGGGGTCGATCGACAAAGCTAACTAGCTTAAAAAACCGTAGGAGTCAAAAACTGTTCTGTCGTATCCTGCAAGCACATTCACTTGTTTACTGCTTCGAAGAGAGTCGATGGAGCGAGTCGCCTTGCAAAGGGACTTCTTTTTTTTCACAGGCTATATATAGTTTTCTCGTTGCTGCCACGTGGCGGACAAAGGACATAAGCTCGCTTGCGACAAAGTAGCCTTTCCCACCCCTCTCTGCAGGTTTCATTTTTGGTCTCCCATCCCCTCACCGCAAGTGCAACTACTTAACAATTAGACCCGTGGCCCTTAAGGGCGAAGGGTCTAATTGTTTTAGTGTCACCCAACTAGTCGGACAGAAAAGGCAATAATAAAGTTAGCA